AGAGAAAACACTTGTATTTGATAAACATGCCGCTGATGAGGTCAGGCTTTAGAAAGCCACTTAGAAATGAACCGTGTTGTTGATAGGAGGCAAAGGATGCAATCTTGCTACTCTCAGAATTATTTTCCACATAACAGCAGGACTTGATATGAGCAAGCAATTATAAGTATTGTCAATACACTTAAAGCACGCAACTCAAGAGAATCCAGACAACCCACAGGGGAACTGACCTGTACCGTTCTATCTAAAAGTGCTCATAACAATACCACAATATTAAATCCCTTCCATGCTTAAGTCATTTGAGCAAGATAACGGCAAGCTTTCTGGGATGGAAGGAATGAAACGGCCAAGCATTTTTTTCTGCTGTCATATGCAAAACAGTTCTATCTCTGTCTCTCCCTCCCTGCCTCTTTTTTTCTGTCACTCCTCTCCTGTCTCGCTCCCACTCTCTCCTGTCCCGTTTCCCAGCCAGTCTCTATGGAAACCGAGCTCTTTCCGGCAGAGGAATATTCTTATGCAGGGTGGAAGGCTGGAAATAGGTCAGTATTGAGACCCTGTTGGAGAATTTAAGGCGAGGTGGAGTCTCCCGCACTAAAAAGCCTTCCAGTATTCTAAATGAGCCCCAACTAGGCCAGGGTAGCCTATAGTTTGTGTGCGAGTTGATGACTGGCCCATTCTAGCCAACTCATCCAGGACTGGCCATTGCATTGATATATCACTGGCTGTTTAATTGGCTATGACAGTGTGGTTTTTATTAGCCGTGCTGCTCCTGGAAAAGGCAGCTCTCCCCAGTGTCCTCCTGTCTCAGTGAGTCATGCCTGCATTCAGAACTTCAATAACGGAGCTCAGACAAGCCCGCTTGTTGCTCCTGCACTCAGAGACAAAGCCATACGCTTGCAACTAAAAACCTGGGAGAAATTATAAAATGGTTTTATGGCATGCACACAAAGACATTAAAGTTATACTCTGGGTAATGTATTTTAACACGCTATAAAAGAAACTTTTTCAGTGACATACCACCATTGGTGAATGCTTTGGTCTGATTCATGAACAAATTATTCATATTCTTTTAGATGTGGTTCTACATTTCTATAATCGTCTATTAAACTTTTATGTTTATGAACTTAGTGTGGCACGGTGGCTCAGTGGTTAACACTGTCGCCTTACAGCAAGAAGGTCGCTGGTTCAAGGAAAAGGGTCTTTCTGCGTGCCTTAGGGTCGTAACTTGAAGTACATTAGAGGCATAACTTGAAGTGCCATGCTAAAACTATGTTGTCGACTTAATGGCGCTGTGTATCAGTTATTAACGTCTACACCTACTCTAAACCCAACCATAACAGTTATTAACGTCTACACCTTCCCTAAACCTAAACCCAACCAACATAGTTATTAATGTCTACACCAACCCAAACCCTTAACCCAACCATCATAGTTATTAATGTCTACACCTACCCTTAACCTAAACCCAACCATCATAGTTAATAATGTCTACACCTACCCCAACCCTTAACCCAACCATCATAGTTATTAATGTCTACACCTACCCCAACCCTTAACCCAACCATCATAGTTATTAACGTCTACACCTTCTCTTAACATAAACCCAACCATCATCGCTAATAATGTCTACACCTACCCCAACCCTTAATTCAACCATCATAGTTATTAATGTCTACACCTACCCCAACCCTTAATTCAACCATCATAGTTAAAAATGTCTACAACTACCCCAACCCATAACCCAACCATCAGAGTTATTAACGTCTACACCTACCCTAAACCTAAACACAACCATCAGAATTAATAATGTACAGCCGCACGTTGCAGAGGCTTTCATACTTGACACACTCGCCATTGTACTGTGATTTGCAACCACAAGGGGGGCGACGCCGAGTAGGTTAACTGTCATGACAAAACAGATGAAGAAGTCAGCGAGTTGAGCTGCATTAGTTGCTAAATGGATGAATATAATAATTTATCAAATGACTTGGTTGAGGATAAATTTGGAGAAATCTTATGAAAACATTTGATGAAAATGTTTTTTTGGTAAGTATTTCCGCCATTTGCCAACAACATCTCGTTGGTTCAACATCAAGTTATGCTTCTAACTTACTACAAGCTACGCCTCTTTATCTTAAGCTCCCGTCTTGCAGTCTGCAGACAGACACTTGGGTTCAAGTTCCGACTGGGCCAGTTAGCATTTCTGTGTGGATTTTGTTTCCTCCAGGTGCCACAGGTTAATTGGGTTAACCAAAAATTGGCCATAATGTATGAGTGCTTGTGTGAATGCAAGAGTGTGTGGGTGTTTCCCAGCTAGAAGGGCATCTGCTGCTAAAATATGGGGCAAAGCAGAAGGAAAATGAATGAATTAATGATTTTAAAAGTTTTTTTTTTACTACTAATTTACAAAAAAAATACTGACTCATGGTCAGGCATGTGCAGAAGGGGGAGCTTTGTGTGCTTAAGCACCTGCCCTTTTTCACTTGAAGAAAAAGTGCCCCATCAAAATAAAAAAAATAAAAAAATCCAGTTTATACTCTAAAAACGAATCATTGCATTTCATTTGTTCATGAATCTACACTGATTTAATTGCATGCATGTTTTTAAATTACTTCAAATAACATTTTGATTGCATAACCAAAATCTAGACAAATCTACCTGCCTTTAAAACCAAGTTCAAGTGGGCTAGAGACTTATGTGCCATGCCTGCCAGATGTGAAAGACTGGTTGTCTTTCTAGATTTTAATAAGAGTAAGACTGAAATAATTTTGTTCGGCCTGTCAATCTTTTCTAGAGCAGCAATAGTTAATCTTGAAAATGTATGTTTTTCTATGAAGCCCTGAGTAAAAAAAAAATCTGGGTTTTGTTCTGGATGATGGCTTATGCTTTGACAAACATAAATGCAGTGGATAATTCCTGCTTCAACAGTCAAATCTATTTTATGTAGAAAAAAAAAATGAAAAAAAGAATCCATGCTTTTATTACCACTAGATTGGACTATTGTAACTCATATATACTTTGGGATTAGTTAGAAAACCTTATTCGTTTAAAAGTAAGGATTTTAACAGGTACCAGGAAACATTACCACATTTCTCCAGTTTTACACTCTTTGCACTGGTTGGCTGTGCACTATCGTGTCACTTAAAATTATTCTCTTGGTTTTTAAATCTCTAAATGGCCTGGCACCTTGCTATCTGTCAGTCATCTAACCAGAGATTGTTATGCATCGCTAAGTCGAGGCTGAAATGTAGGGGTGACCATGCCTCCGCAGTAGCTGGTCCTAGGTTGTGAAATGCTCTGCCCTCCTGTATTATATCTGTTTAATTTCTGTCTGTTTTTAAATCTAGGTTGAAAATGTACCTCTTTGATTTATTCATTCAATCATTTTCTTCTCGGCTTAGTCCCTTTATTAATCTCGAGTCGCCACAGTGGAATGAACCGCCAACTTATCCAGCGCATGTTTTACGCAGCGGATGTCTTTCCAGCTGCAACCCATCACTGGGAAACACCCATACACTCTCATTCACACACATACACTACGGACATTTAGCTTACCCAATTCATCTGTACCGCGTGTCTTTGGACTGTGGAGGAAACAGAAGCACCTGGAGGAAACCCACACGAATGCAGGGAGAACATGCAAACTCCACACAGAAACGCCAACTGACTCAGCTGAGGCTCGAACCAGCAACTTTCTTGCTGTAAGGTAACAGCACTACCTACTGCGCCCCCGCGTGGCCCTCTTTGACTTAGTATTTTATCAATGAAATTTGTTCGTTTTAGGTATAATTTTATATTTTTTCTTTGTTGTGATGTGTGTTGTGCAGCACAGTGGTCAACCTCTGGTTGTGTTTAATAGTGTTATATAAATAAAATTGACATTGACATTGACAACATTCTACACACCCTGCACTGTGAAAAAAAAAATGCTGGGTTCTCCACACACAAACTCGATTAAGTTACCTTAATTGTTTTTTTTTTTCTTCAAATTTAAGTGGATTAAAAATACAACAATGTTGTCAGCAAAAAAAAAAAAAAAAAAAAAAAACAACAACAACCCTATCCATCGCATCCAATATCTTACTTTTCATGAGGACCATGCATGAAATGTTCCAGAATGAAAGTGAAAGTGCCAAACTGCAGTTCGACAAATTAATAATTTGGCAAATAATTTGATTACTGATGTCTATGCAAGCACAGTCACTGTCTTTCTCCCCTGCGTCTGTGTGTTTGTTTTGCCTCTGTGAAATCAGAGCATGCCCAAACAGAAACTCCTATTTTTATGCAAAATCTTCCCTCTTTCCCTTCCCCAACACTCCCACCTAAACAGAGCTAGACACACCCACTTTCCTGACTTTTTCCAAACTAGAGGTGTAAAACCACCCTGTTAAGACATGGGGGTTTCGTGGCCCTTTAAAAATTATGTTACTTCAACTAAACAAGCAGCAAAAGTCATTTTTTTAGTGTGTTTGCTCATTTAAAGCTTGCAGTTTGATTACGTTTACTATGATAATAAATATTGTTGGTGGAGGTTATACATTCAGTATCAGGGGAGTGTTAATGCAGGAAACACTGACTTAAGAGGTAAACAAACAATTAAATAAAACTTTAAATAATAAAGAGGATAAAACTGAGATCTAAGATGCAGTAGGTGAAACAGAAGAAATGACAAAGACTAAGTGTAAGAACAGTCTCTGCCTTGGGGGTTTTGTGGCAGAAGCTGTTGTTTAAAACTTCAGATTGGCTCATAAATCAGAGGAGAGAAGGAGCAGACAGAGGACTCCTAAAAGGGGCAGGAAGTCACCTACCAGAACTGACTAGCATGGACACCACCATTACCCAAAAATGCTTTATGCATGCAATTTTCATAGCATTAATGCATCTCATCCCTCAGAGAGTCACAGATTGGAGTTTAATCCACTGGGGCAGGACTGTGAGTGAGCATTAAATAATTAGCGTGAAGTTCATTGACCTGTAGCGAATTAATGTTGTTAACGAACCTTCTCACTGACTCCCTCTCTGAACTGTCTACTTCCTGTAGATGTTGGTAGGCGGGGCCAGAGTCTCTAGATCCACCAATGGCATTCAGGCATCCTCTGGTTATGGGCGGGGTTCTGCGTGAGGCAGGCCGAAGAGCAGAGCGACACCTCTGATCAGGACTATGAGAGAGGGAGCTACTCCTGTGAAACAACATAAAAAATAAAATAAAGATTTTTTTTTAAATATTTATTTTTTTGTTTACTTTTGAGGTAATTTAATACAAATTTTACTAATGCATGTTTACCTTTGTTGATTGTTAATTGCACAACTGCCTAGGCCAGTAGAACATATTAAAATTGAGATAATAATAATAATAATAATAATAATATAAATAATAATAATTTATTTAAATAAATGCATTTGGATAAAAACATATTAAATACATTTTATAACATACAAATTGTGATATTTATTATTACTACTAATACTAACTACAACAGAGATGCCCAAAGTAGGTCCTGTGGGTCAAAGTTGGCCCATTGTAACCTTGGCCTGCCATCCCATCTAATAAGAGAGTAAAAATGATGGAGAGGGTTTGGGCGAATGCCTTTAAAAGAGGTAGTCATTTTTAATTTGACATAACCTTTTTAGTTTGTTTGTTTTATTGCTGAGCTACAAAAAAAACAAAAACAAACAAAAAAATTAAATAAAAAAATGAAATGAATTGTTTTAAATGTTAAATGTTGTAAATTAATCAAAGTTTTTTTTTGATTGTACTGTATATAACAGTATGTTTTGATGTAACTGTATGTAACTACAACTACAACTGATATAAGTAATGTATAATTAAATGTTTATAATAATAATAATAATAATAATAATAATAATAATAATAACAGCAACAACAATAATAAATAAATACATAAATAAATAAATACATTTTACATTTAACATTAAGTTGTTAAAATTTTCAATGAGAGCCTTGACTCTATATATAAATAAATAATGGGACAAAAATTAATGAATGTTCACAAAAAAAAAAAAAAAAAACAGAACAGAACAGAACAAAACAGAACATGTTAAAATAAAGACTCTAACAAAAGTATTTATTGTTTTAACATTAAATTAATTAATGTTAATTTCATAATTTTGTTTAATTAATGTTTAACTCATAATAATAATAATAATAATAATAATAATAATAATAATAATAATAATAATAACAACAACAACAACAACAACAACAACAACAACAACAACAATAATAATAATAATAATAATAATAGTTTAGTTGTTAATGTTAGTATATTAACATTAACAAACATGAATAATACATTTATTATAGTATTTATTTTTCTTTGTTTACATGACTTAATTGAAATAAAGTTGTTCATTGTTAGTTATTGTAACTCACAGTGCATTTACTAATGTTAACAAACATGAATTTTACTGTTAATAATGCACAAGTAAATGTCGAACTATGATTAATATGATTAATATATTGCACAAGAATTATTAATTAATACTTCTTGTTAGTTAATACAATAATTAACATTAACTACTGAAACCTTATTGTAAATTGTGACCAACAAACACATAAATAAAATCCTTAAAATTGTACACGATTCAGAACAAAGCAAAGTAGCTCCACTCAGTCCTATTTCTGCACAGATTTTCAAATCCCAGTCCATCGCATTGTTACCTCAAGTAACATCCTCACTTTCTCTCTGTCTCCATCTGCTGTGCTGACTGTTTTACAAAGCAGTGCATGTTCTAGTAAAAACACTGGGAATAAACAACACTCACAAATGCAGCCTTTCGTCTACACACCTGTAGACTACAGAAAAAAAAAATACCGCTAGACATATTTCCTCTATCATTAAAAAATAGAGCACATTACCAATGACTCACCTTGTTCCCAATTAGATGTTTATGTGATACTGCTAAGGCAAACTACAGGGAGATGTTGTACATACGTTTCCACTGAATGGGGCCACATTAACATAGAGATTAATTGACCTATCAGACTGCTGGCAGTAAGAGGCACATATTTGGCTATTTGGTAAAAAATAGCCTGAAGAGGAATTCATACTCTGTTTTAGATGAGTCTCCAGCAGAGCGATAATTCACTGCATATTTAAATCCTTCCTTACCCTCAGTCAAGAGCAATCAGTTCAATTGTGATAATCGTTTGAAGACATGGACAGCAAAGCATAGACTGTTTGCAAACAAATTACAAAGTCTTCACCACTATATAACCTCATATGTGCTGCTGCTGCTGCTGCTACAAACAAAAACAGAGAGTGGAATCAGGGCTTAACGTTTCGATTGAAGAAAAAGCATGAGGATTAAAGAAGGCTGAAAGGATTTGTGTCTCTGCCAGCAAAAGACCACCCTTCACAAAACCACAGCTCTCCTGAGCCACTATTTAAAACAATAGATCGCTCATATCACAATGCATTTGAGTAAATGAGTGAATTTAGAAAAACCTGGTAATCTATTAAATCCTGAAATGACAAATGACCTCCATTTTAATTGATTTCATCTAAGCTGTGGGGAAAAAAAATTGTTTCTGACCAATTATTCTTCAGCAACCATGCTGGCTATTTTATCTGTTTATTTTTTCAGGGATCACAGTTTTGTAATTATTAAAATTAACCCTCATAGCACATTCAAAGTTATTAATTTTGTTAACAGCCACAAATAAAACCATATTACATCTGATTTACAACTGTTTGTTGAAGCGTTTTAAAAAAAACTGGTTTCAGTGTTCATTTATTTTTAATTCAATTTTTATTTTAATGCTTTTCTAGCTGGTTTCCCTTATCCTGCAGTCTCAAGCCTGTACAGATGATCCAGAACTCTGGAGCTTATCTGGTCTTCAATGAGTCCTTGTAACACCTCTCTTTATCTCATTGCATTGGTTACTGGTTGAAGCTCGAATCAAGTTTAGATCACTGATGCTTGCTTACAGAACAGCTACTGGCACTGCACTCTCTTTCCTCCACCTGCTGTTGAAGGTCTACACCCCTCCGGGAGCCTCCAGTTGGGGTGTGAGCACTGCCTTGTTGTGCCATTACAGAGAGGCTATAAGTCACTTTCGAAAACCTTTTAATTCAATGTTCCACACTGGTGGATTCCTAATTGGATTGCTGATATCTTGGTATCATTCAAACAACAACTAAAAACCCATGTCCAATTCACCTGAAACCTAGTGAATAATACCAAAACTACCTGTAGGAGCACTTTCTCGCTTTCCTACTCTAGCACTAAATTCTTTGAGCACAAAAGAGTTATTTTCAATATCTAGTTCTTCTCGTATGTATTGCCTCTTCTTGTTGAATTACTGAACACCTCCTCAATTGTAAGTCGCTTTGGACAAAAGCATCTGCTAAATGCATTTTTGTCACATATTTATGTGCACTATATATTTAAAAGTTTTGAGGCATCTCTATAAATGCACATGAACTTTAATGACATCTCAATCCTAAAGGGATAATTCATGCAACAATTTTAATTGTGCTAATATTGATCATTAATCGTGATTTATTTGTTTATTTGTCCAAATCCAAATGCACTTCTTCAGTTTTGCAGAAAACAAAATGAAGATATTTCAGTAAAGAAACAAATCTATTCACTGCCATACTTAAACATAAAGATTTATAATGTAGGAGTAAATGGATTTTAAGATCAGTTTGATTTTTATTTTGGGTGAACCATCCCTTTAATTTGTGGGGTTTATAGCACCCTTTGAAGCAATAATAGCTTTAACTCTTTAGGGAGGGCTTTCTACAATGTTTAAGATGATTTGGGGGAATTTTTCACCATTCTTCAAGAAGTCCATTAGTGAGGTCAGCTGTGGCCTATCACTTTGCACTTTGGTCAAATTAGACCTGAATATGTAATGAAGTTACATATCATCAGCTTCTATTGGCGCATTTAAGTTATATCCACATGAAAACCACCATAAAAGTCATTATTAAAAGTTGGAAAGTGTAATTTTTCTTTAAGTGATAAATTTTTTTTTTAATCGAAAGTAGATACATCTACATCTTGAGCTGACAAAAGTGACTTGAATAAACCTGACCCCATTATTACAATATTTCAGCTTATTATGTCAGCATATGCCATGACCTGAACGTAACATATGTGCACCCTCAGAAATAAAGGTATGCAGGTGTCACTGGTGTGGTACCTTTTCAAAAGGTACATATTTTGTACTTAACAGGTAAATATTGGTACCTTAAAAATATATATTAGTGCCTAAAAAATCTAAGAAGAACACATTTGTTCTTATTAGGTACTAATGTGTACCCCTGAGGTATTAATATGGACCTTTTAATATGGAAATGTGTACCTTTTAAAAAGGTACCACCCCAGCCACAGCTCACATACCTTTATTTCTGAGAGTGTACTGACATTAAAAGAATAAATTGATATAATGCAACTAATTTGTTAAATAAATGCATTCATCTTGTACTTGAAAAAGTAAAAAAAAAAAATTGAAGCTTTAATAAATTTATGTATTTGCATATACTGTATAATAACACGGTTTATCCTGCCCGATATTCAACCCTAAAACCTAACCAAATGAATAAATTGAATAATCCTAATTGTATCCCAATTCTTTACTATACACCCAAGCATTAAACCTTCCTATACAAGTAGACATGTCTCCATATAACATATAACCTAATATATTTTTATATATTTAATAACTTTAACCTAAATCAACTTGCCCTTAAATCAAACCACCATACTTAATCTCTCTCTAACCAATATTGTGACCTAAACATAACACACAATCACAAACCACAAAAACAAACCTACAATACTTCAAATATACTTAAATACTTAAAATGCTATGACCAGGTCACTTATAATTGTGACACAATGTATCCAGAGAGAATAATATTTTCACACAATATTTTTTTTTCCAAATCATGAAAAAAATTGTGAGAAGTGCATTCTGTGGATTAAACAATTTGTTATCTTTCATTTCCTACAGAACTAAGAACATCTGCTCAAAGTAAATGAACTTAACTTCTTTTCTTCTATGTATTGATTCATGCCAAGGTAGTGTCAACAGTTACTAAAGAGCATTGGTAAATGTGTTCTCTTCTTTCACACTCCACTAAAAATGCAGTATGCTTTAGACTTTGTTCTGACTTGTAAATGTCCACAGTTACTGTAATGTGTTATTTAATAGTTACTTTAACAAAAACAACAATATGAAAATACTTTGCAATGCATATTAATTCTTATTATCAATGCTTATTACCTTGGCTTGACATGAACTTTTCTGATCACAGCCACTCTGGCTAGTAGATTTCCAACATTAGTCATTCCCTATTATCACTAGCCACAATTTTGTTGTTAGGAAAATATATTTTACATGCATACATTTGACTTTGACATGCTAACATTACTTAATTTAAATTGTGTGTTATGTCAACATGCCTCCTCATTCATTTGACTTTTGTGTGTGTTGTGTATGGGCGTGCTATACAAGCATGAGCAAATGGGTTGAGGTTTCATAGTGTTGCATTGCTATTAGCTTTTATTTTACATGACTTTTCAGGGCTTAAGATTAAGGGTTTACCTAATTGATCTCTGACCACACCAAAAATAAAATAAAAATAATTATTTCTTAGTCACAAATTTTAAATATTGTGTCAAACAAGCAAAATAAAGCTGTATACGGGTACTTTTTATTCAACAAAACCTTTATTTAAAAAATTAAGGAGTTAATCTCCTATTGAAGCAATGTTATTATAACAACAATGATAATTAAACCATATTAACAAAAAAACTGTAAAAAAAAGAAAGCATGTGATAATCAAGGATGAATATCAAGGATACATAAAGGATGATCAAGTGCACACAGTTAACGTTAGGCTCACTAGTAATCTGTTCAAAGAATGTTTAAAGCGGAAGCAACTGCTGCTGCTTACAAAAAGACATTTAAAAAAAAAAAATCTAGAGCTGTTGAAAGCAGCAGGACTGTGGGTCCGCGAGCATAGCTTTTTGTCCAGTCTAATTCAAAGAGAACTAATCGCACTAGTTGCATTTCCAGACGTGGTTCCTCCGTGCAAGAAAACGAGAGCACACACTTTAAACAGTCACATGCAACACATTACCTGTGTGCACAAGTGATCATCATCTCATTTGGTATTCACCTGCCTTCTTTTGCTTGTGCGAACACAATTATTTTTGTCAGTCATTCTGCTTTTTTGATTCTAAGATGACATTTGCACACATATTGACCCATCCTTATTGTCGAACCCTGCTTTTAAGAAAACTACATTTTAAAAAGTATTTGCAGCCGGCTAGAGTGGCTAGTGAGGGCTGTCTTAACTGCCACAACTGAAATCCACCAACATTTGGTGGGCTGGCAGGTGTTAATGTCAAGCCCTGCTTATTACATATTTTATGTATTATATAATTTTTATTTTATGTTTGTTATTATTATTTCAAGCCATTGTAAGAAACATTGGAAGTGGGAAAAATCTAATAATCAACTTTTTAATATTATGATATATGATTTTTTAAAATTGTATTATTAATTTACTGTAGTTATTGGTCAAATAACTGCAATCTTTGGGAGTAAAAAAAAAGAGCTGTCCCAAAACTTGTACAATAGCATATGGAATCTATCAAAAAACAAAACATGAAACTACCATATTTTATTAGACCAGAGAACTGACTATAAAAGGCTGTTTGCAGGTAAATTTCATATCACTGATTTACATATAGTCACATTTGAATTTGTATATCTCAATTTAATGCTTTTCTTGCTATAACAGAAATGCATGTAAATGTATGCCATGGAAATTTCAATTGATATCATATTTCTAATGATTCAGTAAAATTTCTCCCCTCAGTGCTTTTTGCAGACTTTGTATTGTATTACTACAATAAACATTGTCAAAATGTCATGCAATTCTATTAAATAAGACTGAAATTGTGAGACACATAAAAAAGACTTTTCATGAATAGACAGTCTTCGGTGTAATGATTGTCACAGCAATTTTTAAATAATATAATTGTCATACCTAAGCTGTTTTCCTGTCATTGAGCCCTGTGGATTGGTAGAGTCAGCATTACTTGGAGCAAAACTGAGCTCTCGAATGGCACCTCCATGTGGTGGCGTGGACCTTGTGGGTTTATAAAACTGTAAAAGACATGAAAAAGGAAGACAGATGTTAAATATCATACTGTTATCTGTGGGTCCTGTCAAAATTTGATTAAAGCATTTTAATTCCCAATTGGACAACTTATCCAGCATTGCAAGCAGAGCTTAGGCTTCTGTACTCTACACTTCTACACTTTGGATTTGACAAAAATGTGTCCAGGTTCCACTGATGTTCAGATAATCCTACAGACCTCGGTGGAACCAGCAGACAAATCCAATTTAAATTTCACACCTTGAAAGACTTTCCCATAAAAACCCATTTCTGCTTCGGGCAGAATGCACACAATGATCTAAATGTCAGAGAGATACTTAATCTCCTCCACGAGTCCACCTTCACTCCACAGAGTCGAGTGGAATAGAAGCGAGCGATGAGAACCGATGGCTGATGGGAGATCAGAGAAGGGCACTAGAGTCACTCTAATTGGATAATATAGCACTTTCAGAACTATGTAAATCTAAGCAATGTCCCAATGGCTTCCTTTTGTGTGGGAACAATACGTGCAGGGCAGAAAGTACCACATTTCTCCTTTTTCTTTCCTCCATTTACATTTATGCTTTTGGCTGATGCTTTTCCTACAGTAGAGTGACTTACACTGAACTCAAAGTACACATTTTATCAGTTTATGGATTCCTTGGGGATCCAATCCTGTGGTTAGAGCCTGTTTGAGCGACAGATGTGTAGAAACTTCATTGCAAATTACTTACAAATGTGCAGCTTATGCGCATAATTTAGTAACTCATTATTTTCTTTTTTGCAAATGATGACTGGGAGCGTCTTTACATTATGATTTGAATGCATCATGTAACATCCCAGCCTACAGGACTTTATTCATCATGATAAAACAGGAGCTTGGAGGAAATGCCTTGTGTTTCTGAAATATTGACACTGCCTTGACAAAGAAATGACATATGCAGTCAGCTTGACATTTTTTAAAACCCTGAAGTTAGCTGACAATACATATGTGAAATGTAGCCCACACACAACGCCACAGGCAATTTTATCATGTTTGAAGTGAGTTGTGCGTTTAAAAACACTTACATAAACCTTATTCTTTTATTTCTCAACAAAAGTTAGTTGGATATAACTTTAGATTTTGGCATACGGTGGAGATCAAAATGAGAGAACAATTGATAAACAACAACAAAAAAGTCATTTTCATCTCTCTAAAAAAGAATTTTAAAGCTGTCTTTATACTACATTAGCAGATCCGTGTAAAAAAAATAACCAAGGGACTTCAACAAAAACCCTTTATATCATGGATATTGTTGTGATCTAAATAAGAGAACAACAATGTTTGTAAAGGGAATAGAAATTGCAGCTAAAACTTTAGACGGTTTCAGTCACCAAAATTGAGTAGGAAATCTACTTGCCACTGCTTTGAATGACAATTGCTGGCTAATTATCTGATGAATGCAGGGAAGGAACCACATGAATCTGAGCATTCATAACATCATAAACATTTGCATTCAATCATATAATAGGCCGATAAACATCCACTAAACCAGGGCTTCTCGAAATCCGGATCTGTTCTGTTCTGGATCTGGAACACAAAGGTATTCAATCTGGACTTGGCTACATTTCGTTTTGCAAGGCCATGCATAAAGAATTCAAATAGTGGATTTTCTTCATTAATAAATGCACAAATCTCGTAAATTAACGATTAATTTTTATATTTCAGTAAAAAAAAAGAGCCGAAATAAAATCAAAGGCAAAATATTAAAAGTTTTCCTGCAAGCCATTGATATTTACGAGGTTTCACGTGATCGAGCGAACTAATCAAAGTTGAATGGACAGATAAGTATGCTTTTATTTTGCCACAAGCCAAAACAAAGTCATTCTGCTTGATTTGTAGTGAGATACTTGGAGTTGTAAAGAGTGGAAATGTGAAACAGTAGTATCCACACAATACAGACCACAAAACTACAATACCTAAAGTTTTCATTACACATCTTTTGTATTTTTCACCTTTTTTTGGCGAGGGGTCTGGATGCAGACCTAGTGCAGTTGCAAGCTGAGCTGCATGCAATGCTTTTTATCGCCCACACCTAACCTTACCCCTCAAAGTGACATTATTAGCTCCATTTAGTGCATTTATTCTTAGCTTTTGTACTTCAAATGAAATAAAAAAGAACTGAAATTACACCATTTTGAAAAAAAATCTGGCCAAAACAAAGTTCTTTTTGAGTTCGTTTTGACAATTAGAAACAGCTCACCAAAGCAAACTTTTTTGTAAGTTCGGTTTGGTCCTTAACACCTTTGATCTAAAGTATTATTGTTCAGTGATGACTAAGCATTTGTGGGTGTGTTCTGGAACTCCACCTTCTTTGACTTTGATTGTTGTTGACAGCAGATAGTTAATGGGATTACCACTGATTAATCTGTATACTGCGCTTCAGTCTTCACAATGTGCAACTTGTGAAATATGCTTAAAATCTGCTATTTTATTACCGCTAGGTTAATTTACATATGACTAAGCAGTGACTTCAAAATTTAGAAGATTATAGTTTGTTCTTTAACTTTGATTTCCACAGTATTGCTGACATTTAAGCAGTTACATTGTTATTGTTTTACGTTAATTTATAGCCTTCTTTCTTTTCACATTAAACTAATTTGCATATGCATATGACTTAGTGAATTGTGAAAATACATGTGCTATTTAAAATACCTCACTAGAGAGGAAAAGTATGCAAAAGCATTGAAGAGAGAGCAATAGAAAGAGAAGAAATAAAACTGTAGCAGAAAGTGATGACTAATGCAGAGGACAAAAGTATGGAATGCGGTGAGCTAAAATGGTTATGATATATTCTGTAGCCATTGTAAGGTTTGAAAAACCTTTGTTTGTCTTTTCCAAACACAAACATATTCTGGCATAAGTAAGATACGTATATACTGATTTACAAAAGCAATGACTCACTACAGCAAATCTTAAAAATCATTTCCTCAAACAGGTTTGAAAAAGCTGTCTGATTCATTCAAGGATAGAAATGGTAATTTCTGAATTTAAGGTCAACCCTTTATCACATTGGTAACTAGTATTAGAAAAACTAGAAGCCTATCATTACTGAAGCAGTCAATTTCTTTTACCTTAGAGATGCACTTTGACCACACTCAAAAGAACCTGTTCAGGCAATCAAAAATGACTTCATCTGAAGTCTTTTGAAAGCTTGTCTTTGAAGATGCATTTTCCTTCTTTACGAACGCACAGCCACCTACATTTCCAGAAAAAACAAGCTTTTAAAAAAACATGCATGAATGCGCTACTTAGCTGTTAAATTAACCAGGTGAATTCAGCCAAAAATGGCTTAATATTTAGAAAAAACAAAAAACAACTCTAACACATTATAATTGTATATACTGCCATTATATACATGAATATTTAAAAACAACTTCGCATAAGCAGTAAATCTACAGAGGCAAAAAATGGTTTCATCAAAAACTTATTGTCACATTACAATTTGTATTTTTTATTGCTTGGATTGACGTATTTCTTTACCAAAATCGGTCCCAATTTTAAGGATTTTTACCCTTAAAATGACAATTTGTTTAAATTATGTAATTGTAGTTTTTAAACAGTAATACAACTAAAATAACTAGCTAAATAAATAAAAAATCAAGAAAAAACAATGAACAAAGTAACAAACTCTTATGCACATTTAATCCTTTAAATTAAATACTTCAACATAATATTACTTGGACTGATTCGTCATTTAGTGTCTAAAACAAAGATGCCCAAAGTAGGCCTGCCAAAGGCAGGAGAAGCTCAAATTCAGTGTGAAACTCCATTGTGCTATAAATGGGATTGTTTATGTTTTTACTGTAATAAGTTCATTATGAAACGTTTAAAATGAAATTGCATTCGTTTGAAGCAGCATTTTCTAATTATTTTTAAATATTACTGAATAAATTTGTAAATTATACATGGCAAAATTAATATATATGGTTTGTAGGGATGCTCCAATTGAGATTTTTGCAGCTGATACCTCGTTCCGATTGCTTGGTATGGTAATCGGCCGATGCTGAGTACTGATTCTAATGCTTAAAGCTTTATAATGTATTAAGAACATATTCCCTCTAACTATGAACCTTAAGAGAAGATCTCACCTTACCTAAGAGAATAAATGAAGGATGCTGCATATAAAATCTTAAACACGTGTCTTATAACCAGCTAGGTGTGAACACGTCATGGGCAGAAGAAGCTTTACAGAAAATAATTCATTCATTCATTTTACTTCAGCTTGGTCCTTTTTTTTAATCAGGGGTCACGACAGCAAATGATTAACTATGGAAAAGAATATAACACAGATATAGAAATTGGTAAGAAAAATGACAAACAATGCAATTTCGTAACACTGCAAATGATGAAAGAAGAATTTAACATATCTTAATCAAGAAAAAAGTTTGGAGCACATATTTAATGGATAAGATGTTAAAATGCACACCTATACATCTAATACTTCTTAACTAAAAGGTAATAGGCCTATAAACTACTGCATAGTACAAGAAGTATTTTTACTGCTCTATTTATTTAACTTAAGAAATGTAATGCTTCGAACATCACTACATGTGCCTCTCACGATCTGTTGTCTTGCTCATTTACTCTCGTCGCCATGATTTCTGGGTACTTTAACTAATGTTTTGGGGATCACAGAGCCGATATGAATATCTGGGAGAGGTCATAAGGTTGGATGAGATCACTCCACTCACAGCAGCAACACTTGATATGCATTGGCTGCACTTGCATCACTCATGTGAGTTGCACCAATAGACTGTATAAATAAGTTGCACCACTTCATGTGTATATATTTTAGCTGTTCTCATGCATCATTTACCTCCTCACATGTTGTGGCTGCTGCAGGCTATTAATAATATACGGTAGCACATGTGCATCTTCTTCTGTTTGTAAACTAATAAACAAACACCTGTTATCAGTTTATGAGATCGACTAGATTGGCAGGTACGGATCGAGTCATCAAATGTG